GCACAAGGGCGCAGGGCAAGTGCCNTAGTGCCCCCACCAGTGACGATATACAGCCATATCGCACTACTACTCGTGTGATATTGCAGTTATACAACAGTTTGACGGCATAATTGTGTATATAAAAACAAAATCAAACATGGAGACTCTCAAAAACCCTTTTGTATGAGGAACTACTTTCTTCAGCGTTGAATTCAAATCATAAGCTGACAGTTAAACAGTTGAGCATGCATCTTTTAAACTTTAGATCTGTAGTGTCTGCTTTTTGCTGTCTGTATGTGGGCGGAGTAATACACAAAGGGTAAAGAGGCTGTACGGGTGCTGATATTACTTAAATATATCACGGCTATCAGCCAATCAGATTCGAGAACCAGACAGAACTGTTGTATATATATACATGGTGATATCAGGGATCAGCAAACTTGTTCCTGGAGGTCCGGTGTCCTGCATATTTTAGCTCCAACCCTAATCAAACACACCTGAACAAGCTAATCAAGGTCTTACTAGGTATACTTGAAACACCCAGGCAGGTGTGTTGAGGCAAGTTGGAGCTAAACTCCGCAGGACACCGGACCTCCAGGGAAGAGATTGGTGGGCCGTGACACACTGTATATATATATATATATATATATATATATATATATATATATATATATATATATATATATGTGTGTGTGTGTGTATATATATATATATTAGTGCTGTCAAAATTAATAAAAAATAATAATAAATGCAATCAGGTTTTTTTTACTTCCTGTTGTGGTCGACGTGTGTTCAACATGCAAAGAAATAAGGATAAGACCAAGGAAGCACTTTTTGAAGGCAAGTTTCAGTATAAAACAATAAATGTCGCAACACCAGCCTCTCCAGAGCAATCATGCGTGTTGAATTTGAAGGGAGTCACTACGGAGTATGAATGAACTATAAAGCGCACAGAAACTGTGAAGTGTGCAGCCACGTAGGTGTGACAAACTTCAAAGCGTGTGAAAACATTACCCCTGTTAAACACTGTAGAAATGTGCAGTGAGGAGACATTTGATAACCAAAATGAGCCAGTAACCGTGAAAAACGCTCAACTTGAGCAGGATTTTGAGCAGCTTTCTAATGCGCACCATCATAGCGGTAAAATATGCACTAAAATATCTGATATTGTTACATTCTATCAGAGCGTGCAGTGATCAATGTGTTGACTAAATTCATTTAGCAGTAAAGTTAGCCCGGGTGCTAATGTTGCATTATTAACGAAATGAAAGTGTTGACGATACATTTGTTTTGCACTAAAATTTCTCACTTGTAATGTTGCATTGTTTTTGCATCGTGTTTTGAGCTGTCAAACAGCATGTGTGTTTATATTTCCTGAAATGAATCACAAATTGTGGCATGTTGCAAAACATTTGCATTTTGTGTTTTATTGATAACGTCTTCTGCGACTAGTCGATGCCGACTTAACTTTGATAACAGAAGTCGACTTCCAAAAATCTAAAGTTGTTCAACCACTAATGTATACAGACAGACACACACACATGATATATATCTATTAGTATATGAGATGACATGGTAACGATATATATCACGATATCGTATAATGTCTGTACATTCAATCAATTAATAGTTTATATATATAAAATATAATAATATTATATATATAAGGTGGTCAATATATATAAACCAATAACTGATTCAATTTAAAGAAATGGTACTTTATCGTAATACATATCGTTATCATTGTATGAGGTTACTTATATTATGATGACGATATATATCATGATAATTTAACATTTCTGTCCATTCAATCAATTGTTTTAGTGGTCTATATATATATATATATATATATATATATATATATATATATATACTTGTATTTACGGAAATGCAGCAATATTGTGATATATTGTGATATATTGTGATAACATGATATG